GTGGGGGGGGGAGAGGCGGCGGCGGCGGCGGCGGCAGCGGTGGTGGTGGTGTGCGGGAGCAGGGACAGCAGTCGTTGCCGAAGACGAGCGACCAGAAGCGAGGAGAAATCCCATTCAAATGGAGGGGCGGCCCGGCGAGGACATGACGCCACAGAGTCCCAAAAATGACTAGATACAACTCCTACTCTCTGTCACTTCCTTTGTCGAATTCACATGTAACAAAAACTTGATTCAAATGAACAAAAATGTATTTTCTCAGTGAGACACAGACTCCGAGCGGTGTTTGAGTGCAGGAACAGCAGACCCTGACCAAAACACTGGGATGTGATCGAGGCAGGGAAGGGGCGGGGCCTCCTGCCTATTGTCCTACTCTGATTGGTGCGCCTCTTCCCTGCATAATTGACCTGTGATTTATTTGAATGGTGTTTGACTGAAGCCCCTCCCCCTGCCCGAGAGCGCAGCTTCAAACGTGGCTCCCTATGCAGAGTTGGACTAATTTATTTATAAGGCAGGCAGCGCATGAAAGTGAATCTGTCTCAGTATATATTTTATTAAAATTAATGGTATTTTTTATACACAGTTTAGACCGTGACGTGAGCAAGTCTTTCCACAAACCTGCTCTTCTAACGTTCTCACCTCAGGGAGCCTGGTACGCCATGTACGAATTAAGGCTAGGAACAGTTCTGAGTTCTTTTAGAAGGAGTTCAATAACTGATCTGTGATCATCGTCAGCTGAATATTTTTACATCAGATCCCAGATCAGCCAAATCCCGAAGCGCAGAAAGATGTTTAAGTTTCTTTCTTTCTTTTTTTATCACGATCTTTGGAAATGTGTTGTACTTCGCTAGAATATAAACGTCGGGCAACAACATTGTAAATTCAAGTAACAATGATAAAATATTATGTAATATCTACACAGCTAGTATCGGAGTAGATACTGTATTAAACCTCCAGCTGTTATCACTTGGCTGTGAGTTATTTTGGATTTTCTCGGTTTTCTTGTGTAAAAGAGAATCATCAATAAACACAATATAAACAGTGACAGTAGTAGATAAAAAAAATGGAGGTGATTTGACTCACATTATTGTTAAGAGGCTAAACGTTAAATAGGCTTAGTCATCATTTCTAGACAGGACAGTACAAGTCTTACTAAGTTTATACTATTATTTGAATATTTTAAATAGTAATTATTTTTATTTTTATTTAAAATAAAAAAATACGACATATGTAAGTAATATATGGAATATGTAAGTTGGTGAGGCAGATATACTTTCATGTCAACCTTGATTTTGTTTATGTTTCGAGAAGAAGACTTCCGCGGTCTTAAAGTCAAAGATTGTTATTTTCTTGCAAAACAAGAATAAACATTTTTACATATTCTGCATAATGTCAAAAAACTGCACAATTTAAAAAAAAAAGACCACAGAAAGTTTATAAATGTTAAATGATGATCTCGCCAGGGTTCCGACTGATCTGTGTAGACTCAATGCTGCCACCAACTCAGTCGACTCAATGCTGCCACCTACTGTTTAACACGAGGCAACGTGACACACGCGCTGACCAGGTTTTTAATTCGTACAAAATGCCTTTAGTACAGAAGAGTCTAACTATATTTTAAGTCATTATTCAAAGACAATAATGAAAAACAACAATTCGTTTGGAACAAAGAATATTTTAAACTTTGGAACTTGGTTTCAAAAAATGAGACTGCTGCATCACAAAAATGTTTTAGGCCATAATTAATATATAGGAAGTCCTGAAGGCTTGTATCTGTGTGCTTAAGGTGGATATAATTTAAACTAATGTACATACTGCCAGGCCTCTTTGTCTGTTGTATTTTTAATAAACTGTTTATATGTTTTGAAGGTAAAATATTCATCGACTCATTCACTATTAATGACTGAAGGTCCTGCGGGAACCAGAAAGGCAGGGACTTATATCGCCATGAAATGTTTAAAAAAACACTAAAGTATATGTAAGTCAACAAGTTTACTGTGTTTTGTTTGGAAAAAACATAATGACAGATGCTTACTCTTGGAAAAGTCAGGCCCTTTGCATAATTTGTAATACAATAACATGTTACTTTTCACAAAATATTACATCTGGGTGAAGATAACCATCAACCAAATTGAACTATGTCCCAGGCTAAGTAAATAAAAAATAAATATTGTGCTGCGGAGAAAAATAAAGAACAATAAACATGTCGCAATGAATGAGAGAGAGAAAGAGAGAGGGAGGGAGAGAGAGAGAATCTCATTGGTTGGTTAATGTCTTCATTTACCACATGTGGGACTGAACAAAAGCAGGAATCATTTTCTATAAAGTGACATTTTCAGTTGACAAAAAAAAACAAAAAACATCACAACATCTAATCAGAGGTCGAAGCACAGTACGATGTTTTCGGATCACGAGTAATCTTCATTTTCCTTGGGGGGGGGGATTCTTTTTTTGTTTTTTGTTTTTTTGCATTGGTGTTACGCTGCATTGTCCTGCTTGAACAGCTCCAGCGTGGATTTGTGCACCTTTAATTTAAACACACGTTCAATATTCCACCTTAGTGAGAGGTGCATTCCTTCCATGTCTTCCTGGTGGATTCTGTCTCTTGATGAGAAGTTTACTGCTACACAGCCAGGCTGCATCGCTGGGAAAAAAAACAAAACAAACAAACAAACAAACAAACAAAAACTGAAATCCTTCTGAACATTGTTTTCACATCTCTTTACAGTCATTTCTTTTTCACAGCTGTAGACTCTCTGTAGACTATTGATAAGAAAGGGACATAGTCACTCAGAGCCATCAAAGGAACCCCTTTGGTCTTTATCACAGCGTCTCCATGAACAGAATGTCATGTTAGCTTTAGAAAATTCAATTATAGGAAGTAAAAAAAAAACTCCATATGATTAACAGTTGGACCAGTGAAAAATGTCACAAAAACACAAAAAAACTATGAACTCTTGAAGAATATTTCACAGACTTCACAACATAATTCAATGGAGCCTTATTTTCCTCCACAGCTGTCTATAAGGGATAAAACCCACCAAAAAATCAATCTTCTTTAAATGATCTGTGGTGTGACCCTAAACCTTATGGTAACTCACCTAGTCAATTTCATGCAATTGTTTACTCTTAGAAGTTGCTCTGCTATCTGTCCATATGGAGAATAATCCATCCGCTCTTGCTCTGCGATCTGTCCATATGGAGAATAATCCATCCTCTGACAGTAGTTTAGTTTCATCAATGTGCATTTTCCTTTAGAGTTAATGAGCTCAATCACTGAGATCTTCAGAGAGAATAATAATTATTAGTAGGAAACTGATGATTGGTGGGAACACACTGTGAAGCTGACAGGTGTAGCAAAAAAAATGATCATACTGTGTTTTAAAAATCTGTGTTATGGCCCATATACCTGGTTTCCAGTGGCCCACATTGTGTATCTTCAAACCTGGGTCACAAACTTTAACAAAAGTTATTCCTTTTCTTCAAGGCTAAGATTGTTGTCAGGGTGTAGCCCATGGTGTTGGAATAAGATGTGGCCCACATTCAGGATACCTGGTTACCCAATGTGGGCCACCAGAGTGGTCAGGTTGACTACATGACATGGCTACGACCATTTCCTGTACACTGTCTGTACTTGTGTCTCAGTCATCCAAGTCTCTGGGGTCAGATGAACCTATAGGGAAGAGCATGTCGCTCTCCAGCGACAGGTTGCTGCCCAGGCCGGCCATGCGGCTGCGCAGCAGGAAGTGCGTTCTCCTCTGCAGCAGCCTCTGCTGCTCCTGCTTCAGCTCCACATATGAGCGAGAGAAGGTGTGGAAGATGGAGGTAACTGGGAAGGCCATGAGCAGGATCCCACTCAGGATGCTGCTCAGAGCCACCACCTGCCCCGGGATGCTCCTCGGCACCATGTCCCCGTAGCCCACCGTTGTCATGGTGATCACGGCCCACCAGTATGTGGCGGGGATACTGGTGAACTCCTGCGTGGCGGCCATTTCGTTTTCAATCAAGTACAGTAACGGGGAGTAAAGTGCTATGGCCACGCACAGAAACAGGAGGAGCAGTCCAAACTCCCGGGTGCAGCGTCGAGCCGTCAGGCCCAGAGTCCTCAGGCCCAGGGAATGGCGGGCCAGTCGCATCACATAGAGGATACGCAGGGCCCGCAGGACACGTAGCACCAAGCCCACTTTGTCCAAGTAGCTGCTGCCAGAACCCAGCCGTTTCTCCCCCTTGGAGGTGCTGTCCACCATGAGGGTGATGTAGTAGGGCAGGATGGCCACCACGTCTATCAGGTTCAGGGGCTGCCGGAGGAAAACCAGCTTCCTGCGATCCTGGATGAAACGCAAGGTGAACTCCAGGGAGAACCAGGCCACGCACACGGTCTCCACGATGAAGATGTTGTAGCACATCTGTGAGCACGTGCCCTGATGAAGACAAGGAAGAAACACGTGGTAGTACTCAATGTCACCACTAGATGGAGCTATTTGAACATTGACGAACTCGAACAGTACACTCTACAAGTGTTTTTTTTTTAGCATTCATTTGAATAAGACAAACTGACAGTAAGTGAATAGATTCTGATTATGTTTTACTGATGGCATCACTCTCACTGAGGTCCAATGACATGATTTTTAAAAATTAAAAATCACATTAATTGATCCTTAAATAAATTACGAATACTGAAAAAAAAAGTTTTTGGTTCAAATAATCAAATCTGCAACTCATTATTTCTTACAGTGGGATTTGAATTATCATGTGATGTTGTTCAATGTAATGACAGGACTAGAGGTGTGAGGTCACTCACCGCCTCCTCCTCCTCTCTCATGGCCGGCATGGTGCTGATGGAGAGGTTGATGGCGGTGATTGTGACAAACAGCACCGACAAACAGGCAAAGATCTTCCCCGGCAGACCGGAGTGAGGCCTCTCCACCATGTCTCTCAGTTTGCCCATACATCTACTGACCCTGGACTCCGCTACCTGCTCCCTGTCTCCACTCTCCGAGTCCATCAGGTCCTCCAGGAGTTCCTCCTCCTCCTCCTCGGCTCTCTCCATGGCTTCAAACTCCTCCACACACTGCAGCAGACGCCGGCGGCAGCACCACTCCAGGTTCTCCTCGGGGACGCCCCAGTACAGCAGCTCTTCTCTAAAAGAGAGGGCGCACATCTCCCTGAGGGACCGCAGCTTGCCGGCTCGCAGGAAGGTCAAGATGGTCCTAAAGGCACAGGGGCTGCGGTCGAAGAAGTACTCGTTGTGGGCGACATCGTAGTCGTCACAGATGCTCATGATCTCGTCAAAGCTGCTGCAGAGGTGCAGCTGCCCCAGACGGGACAGGGGGAAGTCCTCTAAGGTGGTCCAAGGCAGCTGGTACCGAAGGCCACCCACGTTAATGATGGCGTGGAGTTTACGGCTGCTGGACAACGGGGCGGCATCGTGGCCACTCCTGGTCTCAGGAACGGGCTGAGCCCTCTTGTAGAAAGCTCCCTTCTGGGCCTCTTCCTCTTGGAGGGGGGGTCGGTTGAGGGAGGTGTCAGAGGAACAGCTGAGGGCGCTGTAGTCGTAGTCGGAGCCATCACCCGCCAACAGGGTCATCTTTACTGCTGCACTCACATCCCTGAGCTCAGTCCAGCACCGGCACACTCTGACCTCCAACAATGTCAACACAGAAACCAGAGAAAGAATTAATAAAAACATGTTTAAATCATTTACACATTATTTACATTATTTTTTATTCTCCTCAGTGCTTGAACAAAATATTCCAAATATCTTCTGGAAAACATTTTATTTTTGCCTGTAAACCATCAATTTATGTAATTTTATTTTAGAGAGAAGTTTGATGGATGGACAGAAGAGATGCATTTATTAGATTCCATACCAGTAAATTAGGACTTTAATGTTTCTATCGGGATATTTCAAACATTTAAGTGACCCAGACTGGACTGGCCAACATCTGCTGTCAGGGTCTACAGTGCCCCCTGTGGCTCCTAACTGAATATGGACTAGAAGATGACTGCAATTAAAATCAATGGCTGTGATTTATTGAAGAGTTTCCTCAATCACTAGATGATGGAAAAACACCATTATCTCAGTTAAACATCACAATACTTAAATATGATTCACTACTGTGTCGACTCTACTGTTTCTTGTCATTATTTCTATGTAAAACACGTCTGTTTGCAGGATCAGTGTGGTCATTTATTTTTATGTGATTATTATATTATATTTCCCATTCAGTTCACTTGAAGAACTAAGACATGTCTTTGACCTTTATTTTATGCAAATGCTTCATATCTTGCCTGTGCACTGTTGGCATCTTCTACCACTAAAAACAGAACAGACACAGTGTTGCTAATCGTCACAGCTGATTGGCAGGACGACTTGAACGCTGCTTATACATATTCAGGTGGTTTGGCAGCAGGAGGGTTGAGAGGTATGTTATGCAATGGCCTGAAAAAATTGTGACAATTCCAAATGGAAACGCACCTACGACCAATTACAATACAATAACATCCTGTGGGAAAATGGAAGTTAATACACTACAATAGTACTAATATAATAATAATAATAAACATCCTGCGGGAAAATGGAAGTTAATACACTATAATAGTACTAATATAATAATAATAATAATGATCCCTCACAAAGACACAGTGACAAACGTGGCAAAGCTGTACAGTAGGGGGCGCCTGAGGGAAGGAACGTAACATCACTTGGGTATCTAAACCTGTCGTGGAACTTTTTGACCTATCATGTCGGGTATTTAACAACATGATAAATGTATGCACCTTTAAACCACACTACCTCACATGAAGAGCACTGCAGCACCAACTTGTGTTCATGTTATAAAGTCTCATACTGTATATGTCAACAGTGACGACCCAGCGTTTTCAAATTAAACTAAAGTTTTTTCAGAACTTTGACGTGACTTCATTTCTTCATGGTTCAATGACTGATCTTTGCACCTGAGGATATTTCCGTCGGTCGCCTTCTGTTCTACAGCACAGGCTCTGAACTGTTGACTGTTTTCATGCCTGGGAGTCACTCGTCAGCACCGTAACATGGTTATAAACCAGGCTTGTCAAAAGTCTGGCCCCCCGGGGCCAACACCCTGTAACTTGTTATTTTTAAATTAATTATTTACAAACCGGTGGCACCAGGAAACATTAGTGATGAATCAGACCAAGTCCAAGTCACCAGTCCTCCGGGGCTCCACAGCTTTAGGCCAACCACTGTGTCAAATACAGTTAACTAATTTTCATTGAAGACAGGAAACACCTTCCACCCCCTTCTCCTCCCCCTCCTCCCTCCTCTTCCCTCCTCCTTCTCCTTGTGTGTCACAGCTGCAGAGACAGCACAGACGCAGAAAAATAAAATCGAAGACACGACGGATTATGAAGAATATACAACGTTTAAAAGTCCCTTATTCCTACAACACATTTGCAAAAGTACAGCAGAGATACTGCTTAATATTAATATATAAAGTACAAAGTACTCCAGAGCTATGTCTTACTACAGATATGTACAGTAAAAATGACAGTATTTGTTATTACACTGCGCGTATGGAAGGCAACCTGTGATAAATCTCACCAACAGGACTCCCAGCTGAGAGACCAGATTATAAAAAAAAGTCCTCCCCCCGACAGTAGGTAAGGACAGCTGAGCCCCCTCTTCCTCAAAACCCTGTCCAGGATCAAGTCATTTAGGTCAGAATATTTCCTCAAAATCCTGTCAGGATCAAGTCATTTAGGTCAGAATATAAGACTATAATATAAGATTTCCAATTTTTTTTAAGTCCATGTCAGTGAAGAGACATTCAAGTTCAGTTGTAGTATTTGGTTAAAGCTCCAGGTCATCAGTTGTGGACATCAGGTGACAGGTCCAAGGCCGTCTGACTTGTGACCAGTAATAAATCACAACAGAAAAAAAAACAAGCACATGGTGGACTGTGTCTGTCAGCAACAGAGGCATCAGGGGACAACAATGAACCAGTCCACCGCGTGGACAGACATCTGTTCAACACAGCAGAATTAGAAATAATCACCTGATGCTGCTGAATATTTCACTGATGTCGCTCTCTGGTGTACCATCTCTGAATATTTTAAATTTCAAACAAAATCCCTGTGCTTTTTTCCAGTGCGATGTTTGATGAGTTGCTTTACAAATATGTTTTCTGTTTTTGTCAAACAAACGGAGAGAGTCGGTCGCCTCAAAGAAGAAGAAAAGAAGGGAAAAATATTTACAAATACCCGTGCAGTCAGAACGTCGTGGCCTGTGTCCAAACTAATTTATTCGATTACATTAATTTAGTGGGAGGGACTGTGAAATTAACATTTGCTGCACCACCATTTGTGGCTCAGGAAGGAGGGCCGGGTTTCTAAAACGGGGACGTGAATGTGTGGCTGACTGGTTATTAGGCACCTGCGCTGTCAGCCTGTGTCAGCCGCTGATTACAGTCAGCATCATCTTCCACCCATGAAATTAGAGCAAAACCCACCCCTCTGTGACACGCTGCCTGGTTGTGTTAGCTAACAATATACGAGCCGTTGGTGATGCACAGCACGGTGGAGCCGCGCGTTTTATGATTTATTTATCACGATGTACCTGTCAGTGGTGAACTGTTCCAGTGTAAATGTTTAAAACGTGTACTAAACTTTTAACACCGTGAAGCACTTTCAAAAATATTTGCCTCTCTGAGTCACACAAGTATAAGTAACAACAACATAAAGCAGTACACTGTTCACCCAAGTACAGAGTACTACAAGGAAGGGGATTTATTTCAAAGTACCTTTTAATATTTAACAGCCGAGGGAATGCAGTAGCACTACAAGTGGCACTAAAAATCAATTCTTAAGCCAATTCCCCCCCCAACCTGCCCCCCCAACAACACACAGGACTTGAATCAACGACTTGAGTTCCTTTTCCCCACTACTGTGTCTGCAGGGCTGCTTGTAACGTTAATATTCTTCCCCCTTCTTGATTCGTACTTCTCTCTTGGAGAGTTCCAGTTTGGAGCTGCAGTATCTTTGAGCCCATCATTATATTATTGCAAACTGAGATCAAAAAAGAAAATCAGCTAGGAGTACTTGGGCTCCCTACCACTAGAGGGAACCCAAAAACCACCGAGGGTACGCGTACCACAGCTTGAGAACGGCACAGAAAAAAACACAGAAGAGTCTTATTATATAAGAAGAGTCCTTAAAAAACACAGAAGAGTCGTATTATATACCAAAAATGGATTTTTGAAAATATATGTGAAAAGAATATATACATACACACTTATTTATGTGTATACATACATAAATATATATGTACATACATATGCATACACATGCAAACATATGTGCATATATACACACATGTATTTGTAGGTATATATGTACATTAGTATACATATACACATGCATACATACATGTATACCTACGCATATATACACACGTACATATAGTTATACATATATACAGTAGCTGTGTATGTCTTGTACAACAGCAGTTGCTTCAGTCATGTAGCCCATTAATGATGCACAAAATCAGTTTGTGATCATTTATATTTACCAGAACAACAACACTAGAATAAAAATAATTTCATAAAAACAGCGTCTTAGTCTTTCTTTCTTTCTTTTTTTTTTTTTGCCTCCAGTCGCCTCCGTCTTCCTCACTGTCTCCCTCTATGTGGCGAAGGTTATCAATACGCCTACAGTACATCAACAGGCCTGCACCGCTCTCCTACCGGCTCCAATCACACTTAACCCCCCGAGGCTGTTGGATTCCTCCCCTTGCCTTAAATACCACTGTGCGTTTGCCTTTTTGCAGCCACAGGAGCTTTTCTTTTAAAGTTCACTTCTTCTTTTTTTTTTGCTCCCGTGTTGGACCTCAGAGGCTTCCTCCGGGAAACAAAGTCTATCTCAGAAGCAGATACGAAGCGCGCACAGCAGAGGCTGTTCTCCCCAACAGATCGGCTGAGGTCTGGCCTCTCTCCGTGCCAGCGTTATCACAGCTCTGCCACAGGGCATGTTCTCCAGATTGCCTGGTGACTCAGTGGGTTGTGAGTCTCTGTTGCCTGGACTGTATTGTGCATGCGTTTCCCACTGTGACGGCCCCTGCGTGGAGAAGCTTGACTAACCACCGAGGTTGATGAAGGCAATTTTAGTGACCGTGCTGATAACAACCACCGCAGCAGAGGGGTAAAAAAACAAAACAAAAAAACTTTTAGTGGTTGATGAGATTCAATTCTCTGCATCACTCCTGTCAACAACAGTAAATGGACTTCCTGAAGGGAACTCTCAAGCCATTAATAAAGTTCTATCTATTTATCTCTGAACATAATGTATAGAGCAGCACTTGACCAATAAAAATATCCGGATCTGCTACTAGAGTGCTAATCAATAAAAAAAAGAGATATATATATATATATAGATAGATAGATAGACAGAGAGATAGATAGATAGATATAAATACATGAATATATATAGACACATATATGTATATATAAATACATACACATATATAAACACATATGTATGTATAAATACATAAACATATGCCTATATTTATATACATGTGTAGTAGTGATCATATTCTGCCATTCAATAAGTGCCATATATAACATACAGTATATAACATATATACAAAGCATGTTCAGTTTATATGTGTAAATATACGTATATTATTACCAAATATATTTTTCAATGTACTCTAGGTAGATCACTTCAGCCTGGTCATTTGAATAGTACATTGATTCACATCAGCGTTGCCAAAAAATGTGGGCGACCTTGATGATTAAAACAGCAAAACAAAAAAAAAATTGATATGCCATTTAATAAATTATTTCCATTTTTTTTGTTTTTTTTTTACGTCTGAACTGCTGGGAGCCTCGGACAGATCTCTCCAATCTGCCTCTGAATCAAGTATGAATTGCCAATCAGCTTGACTCAGTCTGTGAAACTCAAACACATGGAAACTGAATGAGGGATTTGAGTGTTTGTGATGAAAATCCAGACGTCAGACGGAGAGGCTGATTTTTCTAACAATCTCATTTGTTCCCTCCGGTACAGCTGCCGTGCCTGTTTGACTGACTACGCCTAATAATAATGCTTTTTTTTAGAATCACCTTTGTATGACTCCATTTTTCTCAGGATTTATAAGCATTCAGATCATACGAGGTCCGCTTGTTCCCCTCCAACGACTCACACTCTTCCTCTTTCTCCCTCAACAGCTCAGTGTTCTCTAATGGACTATAAGTGTGTGGTATTTCCAGAAATGGACTTGAAAACACAAGAGCTGCCAAGACCGGTCTCTCTCTCTCTCTCTCCCTCTCTCTCTCTCCCTCTCTCTCCCTCACCATCATGTCTGAATCTGGTTCTGGTTCTGGCTCTGCCCCTGAACACCTGTTCTTTACGAATCTGGTTCAACATTGAAGCAGTCAAACACAGCTCTGCCCCTGAACACCTGTTCTTTACAGCCAACCTTAAAAAGGAATGATTGTAAACAACAACGTCTCATGTAAACACAAAACAACAGGAGCAGCGCCACCTCCAGGGCAGTAATCTCCTGCCTAACTCGACCTGTGGTTCACCACGGTGCGGTGCAGCTCAGGGAGGTGCAGCTCATTTGCTGTGAGGATAAAAACCCTTGGACGATGAGCTGTGTTATCATTAATGGCTGTTTGGTTTCTGCTACGTCTTGCGGTCGATCCGGAGCGTTAGGGAAAACCGTTGAAAGGTTTAACATGAACAATTGAACGCAGCAATCGTCAGAATCTGATGATGACATTTTCTGATCTCGGTTGAACCGCCCTGTAACACGCTGCGTTTCTTCACGGAGTAAAACGTCTCCCTAATAAAGATCACACCAGATGCATCACACCTCCGTCATTTTCTGCCTACAGTTTAGTTCCCAGCTCTTTCCCGCTCTCCTCCACAGACAGGGGTCTGGGCCAGGGGTCGGGAACCTTCGCTACTCACAGAACTACGTCTGCAGCCTCCACCTTCAAATCAACACCAAACACTGGTTCTACAGAACAACAACTACACCAACAAACAAGACAGTTGTATTATACAAGTATTATTTCTACAAGAAAATGTAAAATATTTACACGTACATATTAATATATATACATATAAATATATGTTTATTCTAGGGCTATATATATACATATACTATGTTACACATATAAATAATGCCAAAAACTGCTGTTATTTGTTTTTCAGTTCCATGAATTCACAAATTGCATATTTAGGAATGACAATTTATCAAGATTAATCCTGATTAGTTGCGATTAATCATGATGAATCCATATCTACACTGTGATTCATCTGATTAGATTTACACATATATATAAATATACATAAATACAGACATACATATATACTGTATGTGTACACACTACTAAGCAAATATATGATAATTCTCTCTGTGAAGCTGACGACAGTTTATCACTTTATAGTCACATGAATAATCCTAATCTTCAACACAACATGGAAAATAATCCCAACATTTAAATACTTGAAAAAAAAAAGACACTTTTTTGTGTCTACATTTTAAGCATCAACTCACTCTAACTGTTGAACCTCTGATGTCTGGCTGTTATCACTCACAGTCATGTCAAGTATTTATTTTTTCTAAAGTGTCTCCACCTCCTACTGGAGCAGACAAAGTGCTTCAAAGGAGCTGCTGCAGGTCCCCGATGGACCGGGGTGACAGAAAGTACGAGCAAAAGATCGATTCCAGAGATGTGAAGGGGGAAAAGAAAAGAAAAAAAATCCACTCCAAACACTGTTACACTGCGAGGAGAAAAGTGTTTGAGCGAGGAGCAGACAAACAGCCACTCAGGGCTTTTCCTGTTGGCAAAGTTGATGGATGTGAAGAGGGATTAAACCCACAAGTAGGAAATAAGACAGATCGCTGGATGGACGGTTGATATGGAAAATTATGGCTTTTCTGTCACAGGAAATGACCGTGCCTTAAAAGCAAAATAAAAGCTACTGTGGACACTTAGTAAATTCCCCCGTGACTTTAGATTCTATTTGACAGCAGCAGGAGACATTTCCTAGTTTCACCAATGCACATCAAAAAAAAAACAAAAAAAAAAAACAAGTTAACATTCAGGCAACATTCCTCCTCTGGATTTGTCTGGAGTCCGTGAGAGAAATAACTCTTCTGCTGCTGCTGTTGCTGCGCCCTAACTTCAACATCTGCTGTAACGAAGTATCCATCATTAACGCCTTACACACCAAGACTCATGGGAACAGATAGATTTTAATTACTTCTTTGTGGAGGAAATTCAGACAAGCACTATTAAATGTTGGAACAGGAGCAGCCATTAGTTCATCTCATTACAGACCCAATTACCTGGAGGAGGGAGAAGGTAATCTTTGACATCTCATACATCACCGATGCAGAGGGAGGCGTGTGCATTGTGGTGCCATCATCGGCGTGAAACACATTAAAATTTAACATCACCTCCAAAATGACAACATGTGCTGCTTGGGGGGAGGGAGGGGAAGAGAGGGAGGGACGCTTTAACACATTCACAGAAACCAAAGTATCCAACCAAAATCTGCAGTTTGAGAATCCTCGGTGCACAGTTGTACGTTTCTCTCATACATATTTCAGTCCATGCACTGAATCCCAGGATTTCTGCAGATCAAAAACGGAGAAACTGTCTCTGCTCAACTACGGGTGAATGTTGACAGACCATAACACACTGTAATCTGGCCACAGCCTGGTTACCATGGTGTACATGCGTGGCATCCAGTATGTAAATCACTGTCATCTGTCCCTGTCACTACGTATGGAGTCGATTTATGGTAAAAATGAGGCACTTTCCATGGACTTTACACGCCGGTCCGTCTGCTACGTCTTTGGCGCAGAATAATCGCACAGATCAGACGGTTTTTATGAAGTGGTTAATATTTTTACACACGGGCGGAGATATATGAAAAAAAAAATTTTTTTTTAAACAAATATGAGAATTAAATCATTCAACAGTTCAGATGGAGCTCGTGTTGCCACAGGTTCTAATTAATGTTAGAAGTCACTGAAGTCTTTAAGTTTAGACATAAAAATAATTACAAAAATGAAATTACTCACCGTGATGTGAATCACCGTGGGAGCAGCTGTGAAGTTTCCTGAAAAGGAAAAACAAAAAAACAAAATGTGAGAAAAATCTGCTGCTACTGCTGAGGCTGAGTCAAACTCCGCTCCTGCTCTCCTGCTCATGCACTCGGCCGGTGAGACTGAGAGGAGCTCATTTGATGATCAGGAGCAACAGGCTGCCTCTCCTTCTCCTCCTCCTCTTCCTCCTCTGCGCTACCAACTCCCCTTCTTTTCCTCCCCTCCTCTCTCCCTGGCTCTTTTCCGTCTCCCCTCTTTGCACTGACATCAGAAGTGGGATGTGCATTATGCCAAAACCTTTTGAGAGAAATCCATGGCAACCAACATCTAGGAAGCCGTGCCCCCCCACCCCACCCCACTCACTCACACACACACACACACACACACACCCTTCACCTTTAAATGAGAATAATCACTCTCCTTTGATTGTGGAGTATAAAAACGGGTTATGTTTGTCCGGTGGTTTGCGGGGCTGAGGGGGAGGACGGCTGTGGGCTGGACCAGTCCCACCCGGGCGTCCAATTTTAGATAAGGAGTGGTAAAAGCCATGACGAGGTGCAGTGATGATGAGACGGTGAGGAGTTTATCACCAATCCTGATATAGATCTAGACCTGGTGGAGGTGACAGACAGCCACAGGTATGAAGGCGGAAGGAACAGGTGAAAGAATCTGTGAAGCAGTGACGAAGAGCTGGAGGAACAGCAGTGGTTTAGTAGAGCTGCTCTCTAAGATGCCCACCGATGTAGACAAATTAGCTTCTTGAAGAAAGACAAAAAACAGAAAAATAAGAGATTGGAAATAAAGGTAGAAAGGAAGAAAAAGAAAAAAAACACAAAAAAGACAAAAACAGCGAAAGACAGAAAGATAGAAAAACAAAGAAAGAAAAAGGCAAGAAGAACAAAAGAAAATGAGAGACAAAAATATAAAAATACAAGAAAATGCAGAGAATAAACAGAGAGAAAAAGGACAGAAAGGAGAAAGAAAGAGAGAAACAAAAGAAAAAACAAGGAAAGACAGAAAAAAAGAAAGATTTAAAAAAGGATAAAATGAATATAAAAGAAGAGAAAGTAAGGAAGGAAAGAAAAACAAAAGGAAAGATAGAAGAAAGATGGAAAGACAGAAAGAAAAAACAAACCAAGACACATAAACCCCAGCCCTGACTCCAGTCCTGTTCACAGCTCACAGTCCAAACTCACCGTTAACTCATCCACTCATCCTCACTACAGTCAGTGAACTGAAACTGTAAACACAGTCAATTCATTTACAAAATCAGAATGAAGACTGAAACTCAATTCATTTACAAAATCAGAATGAAGCAGAAACTACAGGAGTTTGAGTTGCATTTCCGGCAGCAGCAGTAATGATGAGGCCATTAGTGTGGAGCTGCTGATTATGGGATGCTAATTATAGATGTTGTTGTTTTGACCTTTTTATGTCTGGAGGATTACAAGCAGATGTGATTTTTTTTTCCAGAAACTTCCTTAAATATGTTATTATTATTTTATTATCCATCATAATTTCAAATAAACTCTGTTTGTTTACCTCAGCATCAGGTGTTCTGTTCATCAGCAGCGACACTGCCCTCTGTCTGTTTTGGATGATCTTCAAATAAAAATATACCCAGTAGGGGGCAGTAAAGAAACCCAAAAAGCTAAAGCCAGGTTGGCCCGAAAAAGTAATAAATCATGATAATTTTTTTTTCTTTTCCTCCTTATTTACCTTTGTCTTCCTCTCCTTTTGTTTTTTTTTTCTGCTCTTCATCTTGATCTTAGTCTTCCTCTTCTTCAACTTCTTCCCCGTTCACCTCCTCCTCATTTTTCCACTCCTTCCTGTTCTTGGTCTTCTTCTTCTACATACTTTTTCACCTCTTCTACCTTATTAACTCAGATGTGCGATCACTGATCATGATGAACGGTCGAATTTGTCGTCTTCTCCAGGACCTCAGCCATGTCACCTCATGTCAACTGTGGATAAGATTTAATTACGGTCGAATTTGTCGTCTTCACCAGGACCTCAGCCAATCATGTCAACTGTGGATAAGATTTAATTTAATAAAAAAAGGAGAAAAAAGGAGAAAAAAACCCCAGCTGATTAAAAGCCTCACTATTCAATATGACTGATGAGACTGTGGCGAATGTCAACTGTTCCTTTGCTCGTTTGTACGTGTGGTGTGAAACCACAGGTTATTGATTATTGATCGCAAATCACTGCTTGAACAAAGCATTTCTGATTGGGATTTGAAAAGGTCAGCTCTTCCATCTCTACTGTGAAATCAATGACACTATAGCCTCGCTAAGTTAGCTGTACTCTGCTCTGCTCTTTAGGGAAAAAAAAGGAGCCTTTTACTGTTCAAAGGTTACAAAAATTAGCAGTAAATATCCTGTTACAGTGAGAATATTCTGTGAGTACACGTCTTCGGAAAACACCGGTGAGTTGTACAGTAAACCTCTCAGACATCAGCAGGTTCTCCCGAGGGAGGACAAAGCTGTGGCTCCAGAGCCTGCATTTCATTTTGAATTTATAGATGGTATCACTTACACTGGAACGTCTGAAGAAACAGAATCTACAACCACGGAGTCTGTAATCATCTGGATGCAGTCCACGTGCGCGGTGTTGCCTGTTCTGTCTGACATTTTTATATTTAACCTGGATAGATTACAGTGATGTCAGAGGTAATCTGACCAGCTCAGTCAATGTTGGGTCTGGGGTGGTTTTCCCACTGGAATTAGACTGGGAAACTTTAGAGAAGGAACAAGAAATGATCCAGAAGAGTGAAGTATGTGAAGCTCACCTTTCACTTTTCTTCATGTTAAAGCAGCACATTCATCATTTCAAAAGTCTCCCTGGTCCCTGGTTTGCAATAAATATCTGATCTTCAAATAAAAACAAAAATAAGACGCTGGTTCTCCAACTCCACCAAGGTGTTGACAGTGGAGTGTTAGGCGTTGGAGGGTCAACTGGGTTCCATGGGTAATGTAACAGCCGTCAGACACCTGTCTGACCCCAGACGTGGCTCAATCCAAAGATCCTCTGCCGTGGTCCTTTAATCCTTCCTTTATTCATTCTGGCTTCACTTGTTTGTTTGTTTGTGTCGTCCTTTGTTCCCTCCATCGATCCAACCCTCTTCCTTGGCCCTTGAACAGTTTGCCTTGGAATGAATTAAGTAGCTCCACAGATTATCGGGACGCTGCCCAGAGACTAGACTCGGGGTGAATTATATTCTTGTTGTCAAATTTCATGCATATTCATCATCAGTTGTTTGTTGCCTTTGGTTCAGTGTTTTTTTCATTACATCAGGGAAAACCATTCAAAGATAACGCATTAGATTATATTTAGATGGAGAAAAAACAAGATAAATTCAGTGGTAAATTTGTCCAAACTCACTGCGGTGGAGAAGAGCAGCAGTCTGAGTGATTCATTTCCATGATGGACAAGGAGAAGATAACAATATGGTCTGGTTTGTTTCCTGTGAGAGGTTCAGAGGAAGAACTGAAAAAAAAAAACGTCCTTCGCACAAATAACTCAAACTACATTTCTATGAACTGTCAGACTTCTAGGTCTGAATGTCCTTCTTTCTTCACGGCAGCTCTTGGTTAGCGTGTTTCCCGCGCTGACGGTGGGAAAATTAATTACAAATCGTAGCGTCAGAAGCGGCACAAAAGCCTTGACGTTAATTAGCAACATGTTCGCTTATGTTTTTACTTTGAAGTTAAGACTGAATGGTGACAATGGCGTCCGTGCTTGATTTTTTCATTATCGTTATTTCACATGGCTGCAGACGGCAGAGGTCGGCGTGGAACGCAGCCTGATCTTCCTATGTTATAATTCACTGACGGCCTGTGACAGACAGAACTGGGTTCCAAAAGGTGAATACAGCAGCAGCCATATATAAATACAGTATATAAGGCCCAACCCTGCAGCGCTGATTAAATGCAGTATTATAAGGCCCGACCCTGCAGCGCTGATTACATGCAGTATCGAATTTACTTCTCCGAGAACATTATTCAAGAAAAGCCACAATTAACAACAACAATCAATAGGATTTCTTTAAGGGGCTCAGACATAAATCCCTTCGACTTCGACTCTGAATTGACCTCAAAACTGTTCAATATGTGGCTGAGAAATCCTGAGGCAAATACATTATTAAATAACAGAGAGAAATATTTTGTTATATATGAGTTCAAATAAAGGAAAGGAACTAGCATCATTGGCGGCTAACGCTCATTGACAAGAGAACAGCGTAATGTTGTATTTACAGATAAAACATAATCCGTCACAGCACGTGTGAAGGACCCTGTGGAGGACCCTGTGGAGGACCACTCAGTCCACAGTCCAAATCACTACTTACTAATTACTCGGAGATGAAAAGATCAGGATTACAGCTCAGGGATTAGCTATTATTCTCTAAAACCCAAACCAAACTGAAGTTCAGTGCCAGCGAGGCACAGCTGTGTTTGGGCTCAGACCTAATCTCAGCGTCGCAGGAAACAGTTGAGGTGATTTGGCTCTGCCAGCGAGAAGAAGCTGATAATAAATATAAACTTCACATGTGTGGAATCAAAGGAGAGATGAAGTGTCATCGGAGAATGAGAGTCGGGAGTCAGAACCCACTGTGTGGCCTGTGGTAAATGTGTGGGAGGCGTCTGTGACCTCAGCCTAATTTAGTGTTTGTCTGTTGCCAGGTCTTACTGTGTGTTTAAACAGCACATGGTCTCCACATGTGAATAAGAAGAAACGGGCGTGTATATTTATATGTACTCACAAATATACTGTGCATATGGACAATATATAATAACTATATATATAATTATATATATATAAAAGGTTGTTCCTCATTGAAAAATATATATATGCATATACATACATATATGCCTATATATGTGTACATATATTTATATATATTTAGAATTTTCTTTATATATATTTGTGATATTAGTCGTATTAGTATGTGTGGTGACTACTACTACTACTGCATGTGGCTGTTTACTTCAGGTGTAATTGTACTCAGTACTAT